GAAGCTGGCTTGCCAGGGGCTGCTGTTCTGGTGCCCCCTCTAAATTAGTGCCTGGAGCTGGTACCCCTCTTGGGGGTGGGGGGCTCCCAGTTCCACTACTGCTGGGCTCCCTAGGTGCCCTGTATGCTCACTGCGCTGCCTATGTGCAGGGTTAGTGTCCCTTTTTTCCCCTGCAGGTGCTGCCACTGATATGTCAGGACCCTCTCCATTGGCGTCAGTTTGAGGGTGTCCTGAGGCTGGATTCTGCTGTATATCTCTGCTTGTCATCAGCATAAACATAGGCAGCTGTAACAGGAGGGTGCAACAACCTGTTTTTTCTTGTTTACTCCCTGGCAGGCTGGCTTTGTTAAAAAGGACACCCTCATGCTGCTGCTGGGGAGACCCTGCTGTTGAAGGTGGATTGTCCAAAGTGAAGTGGAGGGGAGGGGAAAGGAAGAAGGAGAATGTAATCCTGTGCTTACTGAAGTGAAACCCTCAAACTGCTGCTTATAGACCCTTCTATTGCAGATGCTGTTACTGGGGGAGGAATTGTCCATAGTTAATCAGTAGGGGACTAATGCAGCATCCACAGGCTGTTGCTCCCTTCTACTGAAAACAGAGAACGTGTCTTATTTGGGGTGGAGTGATGTGTAAGTTTTTAAATAAGGTACCATGGGTGAAAAGCTGTCCCCCAAAGGGGCTACTCCAGGGGTGGGCAAAATGTAGCTGGGGGGCTGAATGCGGCCCGCCAGGCCATTTTATCCGGCCCACGGGGCCCCTTAAAAATTTAGAAAATTTAATATTGATGTGCCCTGGGCTGCCTGTCATGCGGCCCTTGATGGCTTGCCAAAACTCAGTAAACAGCCCTCTGCCCAAAATAATTGCCCGCCCCTGCGCTACTCATACAAGCCTGCATTCTCCAAGCCTCATTTCTTAGTTATCTGTTGACCTGTCTGTGATGGTTATCACTTTGACTACCAGATTTGTTTTGCATATGAACCTTGTTAAAACAAACAAACAAAAACATAGCAAAAAATTAGGTTGTTTAAACTAGGTCCTGAGAAATGGTAGAGTCCTGTGGGCCTAACTCTTATCCAGTTTACAGTGTGCATAAATCAGGAGTCTCTACACAAGTCAGTTACGATTTTGTTGGTGTAACTCTAGTGAAAGTGAGATTGATATCAAACCCTTTAACTCTTAGGTATCCTGCCCACGATGGACTCAGGTTTTACTTTTTCCATGAAATTTAAATTTGTTTAGGAAGTTGTTTTCTTCTCTCTCTTCTTTTTCTTTCTTTCTCTTCTTTTTCTTTTTTTGCCTTTAAATTTGAATTGCATTCACCCTGTATTTTTGTTCTCTCTCTTTCTAATCTAGGAAATAACTTTGTATAGAAGATGTTTAATTAGGGTTCCTAAAGTAATACAAAGCCTTGACACTTCAGTAGCCACAGGGAACCTACTTAACAGTCAGACCTAATAATATCATAGATGTTTCATAGTTTCATAGTAGCTAGGGTCAGGAGGGACCTGAACAGATCATCTAGC